TAGTCAAGGTGTCCCTATCAATATTCACCATCATTATGAAATGTTGATATCAGCAAAGACAGTTTGTTTTTCTTTGCTGTATGGAGGCCAATGTTGTATCTTTCTGAAATCCAAAGATTGCACTATACAAGTCTGTTTTGAAGTTGCAACATTTCATCTGGAATTTCTGCTCTGTTCCTGTGCATAGTTCCTGCACTGTCAACTTGTACTTTGTTAGCAAATCTAACATCCATGGGAAATTGGTAAACCAGGTGTCAAATGTCACATTCTAATTCGTTTGGGAGACAGGAGCAACAGGTCTGTTCACGATATCATTTATTATTACATGAATAAAGATCTTATGGCTGAGTTCCAGGATAAATGTCTACATTGAAAGCACAGTAAGTCTTCACATTTACAAAGGCATAAACTTTATGCCATATTTTGACTCATCACTTTTCTGTAAGTCTCTTATATTTCCACGATAGCCATGAGAAAGCTCTGCTAAATACAACAGACCTATGAATGCTTTCAGTTCAGCTAGAGAGGTGTCAATAAATACATCTTTGAATATGGTTATTGGTGCACACAGAACATTTTACTTGCATTTCAACCTTTGTGTATTTCATTTCACAGCATCTTGTAGCATTTTGTCTCTTACAGTTTCCAACACTGAAAGGCAGAGCTGGCATCCTGTCCAATGTTTCCCTCCTGCCAAGAGCCTCACTGTATTTTCAGACCTAGTTCTAAGGTTGGATAGTTCCATTTGGATGCCTGGCCATTTTGCAACAATTTGGCTAGTCATACATGCATTCTCATTGCTGTTTTCTTCATCATCTGAATCAAGGAGGCTCCATTCCCCATGTATCAGTTGATTCCTGCTCCATTTCATAATCATAGAACAAGTCACTGTCATCATTGTCATCATCATCATCATAGACCCAACACCACTCTTCTGTTATGAAAGCATGTATTTTACCATAATGAATCATCTTCACTGTTCATGCATGTTCATGCATGCAGTGATTCACCTGAAGATTCACTTTCGACTTCCTCCAAAACTTGCCAATCTAGTTCTCCATACTAGTTTTCCATTGTACTGAACTGGGCTACTTCTACCAGAAAAATCAAAAGAAAACTTTTTTTTAACAAATCCTGGAGTGGTATGGGTCAATTGGACCCTCTGTGATGCCTGGATAACTACATACAAACTATCACAATATCACAGATTAAACGTATTTCATGTTTTAACCCACATAGTTACCTGTATTGATATTCAACGTCTTATTTTGGCGAGTGGGAAAACCTTCTGTTGATTCCTGAATCCTTCTGACACAAACCCTGCACTGTCTAGTAAAATTACTCCTATCTCTTAAGACAAGATGTTCCAAGAGCAAAAGGTGAGTAAGAATCCCACTTTGCCACTTTTGCACATATCTTGCCATTTGTCATACCAAGTGGGTAAATACGGATTGTTTCCTCTATCCCTCAAGAAAAAACACTGAGACCACAGTTGGCTACTATTATGATAAAGTACAAATGTACAATGAAAAGTACGGAATAGGTCTGCTAGACCCAGTGTTATGCTTCTACCATGCACAAGCCTTTGGTTCAATTTCCATCAATCTCCCCCCCCCCAACACACACACACACACACACACACACACACACACACACACACACGAACATCACAGTAAAAAAAAAACCATATGCCTAAAAAGAGACAGTTCTTTAACATCAAATATCTACTCAACATTCAAATTTCAAATTCCCTCAAATACTGTGTGTTTTAAAGTTTGAATTAGGGACCAAAACAATGTCCACACGTTTTGCTTATTAAGGCTCTTAGATCTGTTTTAAGCTGCAAGTCTTTCTATATCTTTATTTTTTCCTTGCAACTTTTTGTTAAAAGAACCAGATTGCTGGGTGTGGCATACACCTGTAATCGCAGCACTTGAAAAGCTAAGGCAGGAGGATCACCCTGAGTTCAAGGTCAGCCTCAACTATAAAGCAAGATTCTGTCTCAAAAAACAGAACAGGAAAAAACAAACAAGCAAAATGAACCAGATCACTTTCTACAGTTTTCTAGTCTGGATACTGCTGATCCCATACATATTTCTTTTAATATTAGCCTCTATCCTCTGTGTACCCTGAAAAATAATAGAATCTAGAGGCTTAACTAGAGAGAGGTTTAATTTTTTTTACAACACTATTCATTGAGATGATGTTTTCTTCCATCAGGAGACCTGCTCATTGTGTACACCCAGTCATTCTAAGTCATTCCTTCTTTGTCTATTCTTGGAACACTTCCAACAGCCAGGGTAGTAGCCCACATCTGTAATGCCTGATACTCCTGAGGCTGAGGCAGGAGCATTATAAATCCAAGAGCAGTCTGGACAACTTAAGACTCTGTTTCAAAACATAAAAAGGACTAGAGATATAGTGCAGTGCTCTCTGGGTTCAACCTCCATTACTCCACTGAAAAGCAAACAATCCCAACTCATATAATTTGGTTCTCCAGTAGTATAACTCATTCAGGAGAAGTCTGGATTCATTTTATCTTGCTTGATTCTTTCCCTGCATCAGTTTTCAAAATGAGCTGGTTCAGTATCATTTCCCCAATAAACTTGTTCTTAAACTATCATGATATCATAGATTAAATGTATTTCATGTTTTAACTCACATAGATACCTTTATTGATACTCAAAGTGTCCTACTGTTGAGTGGGAACATCTGTTAGTTCCTGAGTCCTTCTGACACAACCCCTAGTTGTCTAGTAAAATTATTCCTATCTGTTAGACAAGATGTTCCAGATTACCTACATTTCCTGCCCCAGGTCTAGAACCAATCATTTCTCCAAAGAATAATATTGATGAGGAATGATATTTCAAGATCACAATCTAGAAGCTAGAGGGCTCTTTGTTCAGCATAAATATAAACTGCCTCCTAGCAAAAGAAGTCTGAGGCAGAAATATTGTCACAAATTCAGGTAAGCCTGAACTGCATAGGGAAACCTGTCTCAAAAAAACAGAACAGAACAAAAAAGGCCAATCTGGGCCACATGGTAAATCTAGAGCCTACCTGCACTGCATTAACAAAGCCCACCTCAAAAAACAAACAAAGAAGAGTAACATTCTATAAAACCACTGTCTTTTTAAAAATGCAATGTCACACACAAGTACATGCATTTACACGCAAACTGACAACATACTAAATTAAAAGGAACTAGAGACATAACCAAATCAAACATGAACTTTTACTGGGCTATGGTTCATTAAAATACTATTCAAATTTGGAGTTGTATTTGGTGGCATACACCTGTAATCCTAGCACTCTGGAAAGCTGAGGCTGAACGACAGCAAGTTTGAATCTAATCAGGGCAACTTAATGAATGAGGCCCCATCTCCCAATCAATAATAATGGGATGGGGAGGTATGTGTAGCTCGGTGGAAATCCCCGAGTTCAATCTTCCTAGTACTGAAAAAAATAACTGGGAGACCAATTGGAACATTTGAATCTAGAATAGATATCAGGTGACATTCAAAATGTGTTTTTAGGGCCAAGGATTTAGCTTAGTAGCATAAGTGCTTGCCTGGCAAGCACAAGGTCATGAGTTTGATCCCTTGTACCAAAAAAAAAAAAAAAAAAGTTTTTAATTTTCTCAGAGACAATGGTATGTTTTTAAGAAACCATTCACATTTGGCAAATACATGAACTATTTAGTGGAAATGCCTTCAGTGTGACCTTTCAAGTGGCTCAGCAAATAGGCATTTTGGTATTTTCTTATAGATACCAACAGGCCAATGTTTAGTTTTTTTGATAGCTTGCATTTGGCATATGCCAAAGTATTTCAAATCACTGTATTAGGTGGTGGTAGTTGTTTCTTGCAGTATTTTTTCACCTTTTAAAACCTGCATGAATTTTCTTAATACAAAATTGGGGGGAAAGGCTATTAATACCTCAGCTATGATACACGATACTCTGCCATTATCCTTTTATCATTAAGTAACTCATAGTCTTATTAGCTGAGTGTTCTCTTACCTTTTTCATGTTCCTGGGAGAAATTTTCTTGTAGCTTATATACAAAGTATAATGGAAAGATACGGTGAATGTTTAAATTTTAAAAATATTTATCACAGTAAGACACTGCCATTAATCCTTCTCCAAGTTCTCTGCTTCACTCTGAAAACACTTAAACACTTTATCCATCATTCTTGCCACTTTCTAAGGCTGTCCTGGAAATGCTTCATGAATGTCTAGTTGTGCTGTCATAGCTGCATTTGTGTTCTGAATCAATTCGAAGCATTTGCTTTTCATGGTCACTTTGAATCTGGAGAAGAGTCACAATTCACATAGTGCCAAATCTGGCTAAGGTAGACAAGGATATACTTTAATTTTTTTATAAGCCTGTCTTTCTATTTTATATCACTCAGCAGAAGCATTCACCCAATTTTCGATCAAATCTTACAAAGACACTTTGCAAAAGAGGACTTCCAGAACCACTTTGGGAAGTGGCAAGATCAACAGGATAAATATATTCAAAATGAGGGAGTATTTTGAAAGGGATTAATAGCAATGTGCAATTTTTTAAAAGTGTGTGTGTGTTTTGAGACAGGGTCTCACTACATAGTTGAGGCTGGCCTTGAAGTCACTATGTAGCCCAGGCTTACCTCAAATTCATAGCAATCCTCCTGCCTCAGCCTCCCAAGTGCTAGAGTGTGCCACCACACAGGCCATAATTTTAAAATGTAAACACACACCTAAACTACACTGTAAAACCTTGGTTTGTGAGTATAACTCGTTCTGAAACAAGCTTGTAATCCAAAGCACTTGTATATCAAAGCAAATATCCCTACAAGAAATAATGGAAACTCAAATTCCACACCCCAAAAACATTCATATAAAAATTACTAAACAATACAAAATAAGGAAAATACAAAATATAAAAAAAATAAATAATAACCTGTACTTACCTTTGAAAACCTTTACGGCTGGTGTGAGGGAGACAAGAGAGAGGAGGGTTATTGTATAGGACGACTTTCACTATCACTAAGGGAATCACTATTATCTATCGGCTCAATTGAATCTTTTTCTTTCCGTGCAACTTTAACAAGGAATCTATTCAATGATACTTGCTTTTGCTTCCTTTTGAGGATTTTGTGGAAATGTGACATTGCACTGTCATTAAACAGATTCACTGCTCGCCCTGCTACAGCCTCATTCGGGTGGTCCTTTTCCACAAAATTTTTCACTGTTTCCCACATCTTACATATCTTCCTAATAGTGAGGGTCTCCTCTCCATTTTTTTCCTCCTCCTCTGCAGATGAGCTCTTCTCCATAACCTTTTGCTGTTGCTCCCGATGCAGATCCATCAGTTCTTCAGTGGTCAGCTCCTTGCCATGTTCCTCTATCAGCTCCTGAATGTCATCTTCATTCACCTCCAGTCCCATGGTCTTCCCCAAGGATACAATTTCATCAATAACTGGCAGCTCCTGTTCATGAGCAAGGCCCTCTAAGTCATGTCCAAGAACACAATCAGGCCACAGTTTCCTCCATGCAGAATTGAGTGTTCTTTTGGTGACTCCATCCCAAGTTTTATCAATGATCTTGAGGCAGTTTACAATGTGGAAATGTTTCCAAAACTCTTGGAAGGTAAGGTTTGTTCCTTTAGTTACTTCAAAGCATTGCTGAAATAGTGCTTTAAAGTTCAAAATGACCTGCTGATCCACAGGTTGGAGGATTGGAGTGGTATTAGGAGGAAGGAACTTAATCTTAATGAACTTCAATTCTTCCAGTAAGTCATTCTCAAAGCCTGGAGGATGAGCAGGAGCATTATCCATAACTAGCAAGGCTCTCACCGGCAGATTCTTTTCTACAAGGTATTTTTTCACTGCAGGACCAAAGACTTCATTGACCCACTCAATGAAGAAGATACGAGTGACCAAAGCCTTGCTGTTGGACCGCCATATAATGTTAAACTGGCTCTTCTGCACCTTGCATGTCTTGAAGGCTGGTGTGTTCTTGGAATGATACACAAGCAGGGGCTTGACTTTGAAATCCCCACTAGCATTAGCACAAAACAAGAGGGTGAGACGGTCTTTAATGGGCTCATGACACGGCACTGCATTCCCTCCTGCTGTAATGTATGTCCTCTTTGGCATCTTTTTCCAAAAAAGCCCCATCTCATTGCAGTTAAAAACTTGCTCTGGCAGGTAACACTCGGTAACCATGAGCTTCTGGAACTCAGCAGCAAAGGCCTCAGCTGCCTTAGCATTCAAACTCCTGGCCTCTCTGAGCTTCACAATACTACAGAAGCCACTCCTCCTCTTAAAGTTATCAAACCATCCCCTGCTCGCCTTGAAACCATCTTCATTTCCTGCTGATGTATGTGGCAGTTTACTTGTAAGGTCAGTATACAAGGCCTTTGCCTTCTCACAGATAAAGTTCTCAGTCATAGTATCACCTGCTACTTGCTTCTCATTTATCCAAACCAAAAGCAACTTTTCTACATCTTCCAGAACACGTGGTCGTTGCTTTGATATTCTTGTGACTCCTTTTGCTGCATCAAGCCCCCTTATTTCTTCTTTCTTCTTCAATATTGTACAAATAGTTGATGTAGACTTCTTATAAAATCTTGCAATTTCAGCCACTCGCATACCTGGTTCATACTTCTTAATGATTTCTTTCTTAACTTATACTGTAATCATCTCCTTCTTCTTACCGCCTTTCTTTTCAACCTTTTTCTGTATGGGGGCCATTGTATATGCTCGCACAGATGTTGACTACAGTACAGTGTTAATAAACTCTTGCCATATATTGTATTTAATGTAATTGGCAATAAGGCAGCAGAGGAAAGGGTATATATCTGCAGGCAGCCTGACCTAGAATGAAGCAAAGCATTCCTAAGCTTACTCTTGCACAGAAAAGCAAAGGACGTCCATAGGTGCTTTGAAGTGACAAAAAAATACACTAGTGCCAGTTGTGGGCACCTTCCAATGTTCTGAAAAAATCACTTATTTCTGCCAAACACCACGGCCTAAGATCAACCATCTGAGCACAGGAGACAAACACCCACAATCTCACAGCAAGAGCAAGAGGGTGAGAGGGCAAGAAGGCAAGAGGGCAAGAAGCGAGAGAATCATTGGCTCAGTTATGATCATGTGACATTTGGTGTCATGTACTACCATTTTGCAAGATATCATTCTTCCTCTATCAAGTTAAATATTTTAGAAATGTTTGTTCACCTTGCAAAACAGTTATGTGGTAAATTACTCGTGATCCAAAATATTACTATATTTTGATCACACCTAATATACACATTTCTTAAAAGATAAAACATAAGCCAGGTGTGATAGCACATATCCGTAATCTCAGCATTGACAGGCTGAGGCAGAAGGATCAACAGGTTTCAGCTGAGTTAGCAAGACTTTGTCAAAATAAAAAATTAAAAGAGCTGTGGATATATGTACTTCAGCAGAAGGCCAAGTGTTAAATAACTAGTAACACTCACACTAAAAAATAAATAAATCTAAAGTCATTTATAATGGCTGCTAAGGAAATACTGTGAGATAAATGTGAACACTGCCTTCTTCCATTAACTGACTGTTGACATTGGTAACAGTTGGATTCTGTACTTTACATTAGTAATAACACCAGTGATATGATCTGTGTATACTCAAAGGCTTTACTTAACATTGCAGCTCACACAGAACTACTAGCAATACCCAAAGTCTCCTGTCTTGGCACTCATCCTTTTATCTAGGAGTATCTAGCTAAAGACTGTTCAAGGAAAGAAAGAACTACACCTTAAATACTAGCAAATAAAGTTTACTGTATACTCAGGTCCTATTAAATCAGCTAATCAGTAAATATGAACATAACCAAAATAGTCTACATAATTGAAAAAGCAGCTACAACAGGAATCTTAGTGATCTATTAATTTAAAGCAGCAAAAGGGCCGCATAAAAACATCTCCGCCGGGGCTGGGGAGTTAGCACAAAGGCGTAAGCGCCCGCCTTGCAAGCAGGCAGTCGTGAGTTCGATCCCCGGTACCAATAAAAAGGAAAAAAAGACAAAAAAAAAAAAAACAAAAATCTCCGCCCTTTTGAATCATCCCAAGATTACCCAATTATCCATGCTGCCAAGTCATGACCTAGTGTCTTCACTAACCCCTGCAATCATTGTACACACCCAATAAAAAAGAGTGTGTCTTGGACTCTGCCCATTCTGAGGCACTTACCTCCCAGTCCCACTTCATGTATTACTAAGTTTGTCTATTTCTTATTTCATCCTTTTGTCATACCCCTCAGATAGGCAATTTGGGATCTTGGCCAGGACCCCAATATCCAATAAATAAAATAAAATAAAGACCTGTATTCTAACACAACTCTCTATACTTGATTCTCAAAGCTTTGAATTCCGTTAATTTGCTCAGTTTTTTCATAGCTCTAACAGAAATTCCAGAACTGAAGAAATTATTGTCTAACACTTTCAATATACTGGCTCTAAATCAAGAAGAAAAAGAACATTGGGGGGGGAAGATTTTTTTTTTGAGACTGTTTTGTAATACAGTCCAGGCTGGCCTTGCATGCACTATGTAGCCCAGGCTGGCCTCAAACTTTCAGTGATTCTCCTGCCTCAGTCTCCAGAGTGCTGGGATTATCATCATGTTCAGCAGGAAAAATGTTTTTTACAAAACAAAAGAAAATCTCTTGTTTCTGAGATACAGTTTTACCTCTACTGCCTAGTTCGGTCTCAATCTCCTAGCTCAACTGATTCTCCTGTCTCAGCCTCCAGAGTAGCTGACACTACAGGCATATACAAAATCGGGTTGATAACACACTTTCTTACTGCAGTGTTGAAAAACAAGCAGTGAGGATCCTCAAAACCTCTGGCACTTGTGTTTCCATTTTACCTATATGTTTTTTACTTCAAAAAGGATTTATCCCCAAAACCCCTTAGGGTTACTCAATCTGTCCTCGAAACAGACATAATTTCTGTACACTCAAAGGCCTAACAATGCAATATAGTCAAATACTTAAGAAGCTTTTATATATCCAGTTTTTTACATTTTGTCCCTTGTAACATCTAACTGCTATTGTATCTTATATGTAATAGTGAAAGTTTTTAAATAATCCTAACTGGTCTAATAATTTCCATACTCAAAATACCTTCCCACTTGTCTGGTAGTAAAATCCCTATTAAAGAAGCACACAAATATTAGTGGTATGCTCTTTACTCAAAGGGGAAGGAGATCCTAATTTAAGCAGTAATACTCCTATTTAAAAGAAATACTCAATATTCAAGATTCCCTCCCCTATCTCCCATGGGAGACTTCACCAACAGTTGCATGTAGTTTGAATTCTATTTCTACTCCCTCAATTTCCTTTAACTCCGCTATATCCAATAGACAAGTTTCTCTTCCTATTTCTGCTCTTCTCTTGTTAGTTACATGTAAAAATAGTTCTATAGCCATAACCTTGTATCACAAAGCAGAATACCACAGAATCTACCAAAGCCTTACCATCTTGATGATTACAGACAAAGGCATCAACCAGCCCTAGGGTTTACAATGTAAATCTGAGAATTTCCAACTTCAATCAAAGAGCATTAAAAAGACATAATATGGAGAATCAAGGCTAAAATATCTGTAATTTTTTTTTTACTATAATTAGTATGTACTGTTACGCACTTCACATTCATTATCTCAATGAAGTCTCACAAGTATACGCCTTATCAAAACAGAGTTTAGAGACCAAGTAACTTCCCCAAAGGTACAGTTAGTGAATATTCCAGTCAGGTCTCAAACCATGCCTTTTGTTCTAGAAATTCTTTCAAAGTTACTACTTCTTCTATTATTAATTCCAACCAATATTTGTAAATTCTCCGGAAGAATGGTAAATGAAGGTAGATTTCGATGATCTAAAAGTAGAAGCACAGGACAAACCTAATGACTTTCGAATTCTTTTGGTCTCGAATTGAGAATCATTTTTTAGTCTCTTAAAATGATTGACTTCATGCTGGATATGGTGGCACATGCCTGTGATCCCAAGACACAAGGATCCCAAGATTGAGCTCAGTCTGGGCAACTCAGCAAGACCCTATCTAAAAATAAAAAAGAAAAGAAATGCCTGGGGTCGCAGCACAGTGCAAAGGCCCTACATTCAATCCTCTGTAAATTAAATAAATAAATGAATCCAAAGAATTTTTTACTTTTGTGTAACTTTTCCCATTTACCACATCAGAAATGAGAAAAAAATTTAAATAGCTGTCAGTGTATCTTAAAACAAACCCATTCTATGCTAATATTAAGTAACATTTACAATGAAAAAGGTACTTATTTTTCTCCAAAATACTGTTTTTCTCCTTATAAATACTTTTGTGTCTAGCTTAATAGGAGACAGTTGCATTCTCATAGCTACTCTGCATTCTGTCTGTTATTATATATTGTTAAGTATACAATGAAAATCTGGCCTTAAAAAGATGACAGTAGAAAAAATATTTTAATAAACTTTTCAGATAATGATATTTATAAATACTAGAACTAACCAATAGTTTCTTTAGTGTATGTGCTTCCTTGAGAACATAAACAAGTGTCTTACAGCTTTACATCAATTAATTGTTCATATTTTGTTACATTAAATCTAAAGGTGCTGGCTTTCAGGTCCATTCCCCCATCAACCCATGGCAACTGTCTATTCTTTTTTTTTTTTTTTTTTTTTTTTGGTAGCAGGAATCAAACTCAGGGCTTTGCACTTGCTAGGCGCTGTGCTGCTGAGTTACATACCCAGCCTTGTCTATCCTCTTTCTTGTTCATCTTTTTCTAAATAAGCTGTCGTTATACTTCAAAAAAAAAAAATCCACTGGTTTCAAGCACTGTAGCACACACCTGTAATCCCAACACCCATAAGGCCAGAGGAACACAAGATCAAAAACAGTTTGAGCTGTCTAGCAAGTTCAAGGCCAGCTCAGACCAGACAGCAATCAAAACTCTGACTCAAAGCAACAAAAGCAAACAAGAAAAAAAAAAAAACAGAAAATAATCCGTTAGTGTAACTATCATTTTGAAGGAATTATTTATTTACCATTGCACTGTTTTTGCACCACCACACACTGATCATTTAGAAAACATGTCTTCCAAATGACGTATTTCATTAAACAGTATTTTATTTAAACTATGGCTATTAACTACTGATAATGTAGTTTTATAGAAAGCCACAAAACTCAACCTGTCAACTTTTCAGAAATCCTACTTTTCACCTAAATTTTATCACTGATAATAAACACTGTCAATTGTTCTGCTAGCAGTAACAAACTCACTTCATTTTCAAAAAACCTTGTCAAGTATTTAAGTGTGAAAAAATACAGTCAGTTCTTTTATGAAAAAATGCCGTTCCATGAAACAAGCAGGTTACAATTCAAAGTTAAAAATGTTTTTCCTTGTAACAACCATACTTCCAGACAGGGCACAAATGTTTTATGTATACTTCTCATTTCATCACCGATTGTTTTGTGTTTGTTTGTTTTTGAAGCAGGGTCTCATTATGCAGTGCAGACTATCCTTAAACTCATGGTGATCTTCCCGCCTCAGCCTCCCAAGTGTTGGTATTAAAAGCATGTACCACCATGCCTGGCTAACATCACAGATTCTTAAAAA